TTTTTTCGAGTAGGTAGATGCTAGTAGGTATTTGCTCAAATCAAAACTCTTCACACTTACACACTTTTCAAAAAAATTTCAAAACAAACTTTGTCACACCTTTGAGGATTGATACAAGGGTTATCACGAAGTCAACCTTTTTCAAAACAAAGGACATACACAAGAAATTTTAAAAAGATGAGCAAGTACCTAAGATCCCATGGAAAACCATGGATAGAAAGGGTGCTAATACCTTCCCTTTCTATAACCTACACCCCGTACTCAAAATCTCAAAAAAGGATTTTTTTTTCTGTACTTTTTTCCTTTCCGGTTGGATGAAATAAAATTCGGTGGCGACTCTTGCTTACCGCAACATTTTACGAACATAAAACGCAAAACGCAAACCAACATTTCAAAACAGTCGGTTCTGCCACCGTATCACAGAACTGGCGACTCTGTTGAGGATTTATAAGTGGGGTATACCTTAGGGTCTAGTTCATCATAATTGTTTCTCTTGATTGTTTTGTTTGCTTTACTTTTAAGGGTTTTGTTTGGGAGTTACTATAGATCCTAACCCAGATCTAGGGACACCTTTTAGGTAAGTAGCAATAGACTGTGAGGGAACTGTACGGTGTTGACCGATACGGTTGAAGTAGTAGCTATGTTGATGTGGCACATTCGTTGGTACCAGTATCCCTTATGGAGAAACGAGGAGAATACGGGGCCGCTGCATGGTGTCGTTAAGCATCAACTGACCTTAGAACCTTTAATCGACCAACTTGGCCATTAGAAAGTAGTGAGATAGCCGGCCTCAGTGTAAAGCTGAGAACTGGTTGATACTCGATGCTACACTCATTGAGACCATACTCTCGAGATAGTTCCGGCCACAAGAAAAGATTGCGTGAGCTGAGACCATGACCGATGGAGGATGGTCAATGATATTGAGATACTCTAGAACCCGGTTACTTTTTCTAGGACAGGTTGAAACCAACTTAACTTCAAGAGGGTATTACCTTTGACCTTATGCAAGCCTTAAGCTTAAGGGCTTTGTGTGACTTGTTTGTCCTTGCCATGCCTGTTATCAGTTGTACCTGTTTTTTTATCATGACATCATGCATCATAACATGGCATTCATGCTTCATTACACTAACCATTTCAAAGACCAACGGAATTTATCTTTGTTACGTTTTGCATATTATGGCTTCCGTGCGCAGAAATACCATCAGAGTCAACTTTGCGCAAATACCTGCCCAACTTAAAGAGCTAGCCTCAAGAGTTTCTGAGACTTCTATGTTCATTAAGAGACATGGTTAGCTTCTTAGCCTGGTCACCTCAAATCTTAATGAGCAGATGATGAGTGTACTTTTCCAGTTCTTCGATCCTGTGCATCATTGCTTCACCTTTCGAGATTACCAGCTGGTTCCCACCTTGGAAGAGTTCTCTCACCTATTGGGCATATCCATCCTTGAGCAGGTACCCTTCACAGGTATGGAAGAAGTTCCTAGACCAGAAGACATTATCTCAGCTCTGCATTTAAAACGGGATGATGTAGTATCCAATTGGGAAACGTGAAGCGGGGTCGAAGGCTTCTTAGCCAAATTTCTGATAGACCAGGCTCAACTATTTTGGGATAGTTTGGATTTTCAGGCTTTCGAAGATATCTTGGCTCTCCTTATCTATGGTTTGGTTCTCTTCCCGAATCCGGATTCCTATGTAGATGTGAATGCTGTCAAGATTTTCCTTTCTCGCAATCTTGTGCCTACCCTGCTGGGTGATATCTTGCATGCCCTTTATACTCGTATCGTGCGAAGAAGAGGGACTCTTTTGTGTTGCATGTCGCTGCTGTCGAGGTGGTTTATTTCACACCTCCCTAAGTCTATGCTGAAGAACGAAGAAGGTTTGGGTTGGTCCTACAGGATAATGTCACTTGCCCATACAGATATTCTTTGGAGTTCCCGGGCTATGGAAGACACTGCTGTTATTGACCGTTGTGGGGGATACCCTAATGTCCCATTACTTGGAATCGAGGGGGTATAACCTACAATCCTTGTCTAGCTTTGCGACAATTTGGTCGTGCTCGGAGAGATGGTCCCCATGAGCTACTTCTTGAGGATATTGCATTTGACTACATGGAGGACGTTAAGGAGCACCGTCGGAGGTTTATATGAGCTTGGGGCATGATGAACAGATCTGACCCCCAAGAGTTGGGACCAAGGACTTCCCTTCCTATGCAGCCTTACCTCCAATGGGTCCGAGCTCGTGCCCAGAAGCTTGGGATGCCCTATGAAGCCGTATTGCCAGTGATTATGGAGCCCACAAATGAAGAGGGAATTCCTTACACAGTTCTCTATCCTTACATGGCCGCTGATCCTGGGGAGTTGCAGAGGTCTTGGATTCAGCTGAGGAATGAGCGGGATACTTACCGGGAAAAGTACCATGAGCAAGAAAGGAAGATTTTGAAGCTCACCAGGCAGCTCGAGGAGGAAAGAGTGATTAACGACTACATCGGCACAAAGAGGAAGCGTCCATGGGATTTTTTATTTTGCTTTTTCTAGTTTTTAGAGTTTGTTTTATTTACTTCTTTTGTAACGCCTTAAAGGCATCGTTAAACCTTTCAAAGTTAATCTAATAAAGTTTGTTTATTTTTGGTTTGCAAATATAAATCTCCCAAAGTCTTTGAAAACATTACATGCATCCCATTATCATGCACATCATTACAGGTACCACTACAGGTTTCTCATCTTCTTCGTTGTTTATTTCAGCAGAAATGTCTTCCGATCAAGCTATCAAAGATCTTCAGGAACAGAACGCCCAATTCCAACAGATGTTCTTAAGTCTGGCTAAAGGGCAAGAGGACCTAAAGACCCTTATTCGGAAGGAGAAGAAGAAGAAGAAGAAGAAGAAGAAGAAGAAGAAGAAGAAGGTTGGTATTCTGAACATTGGTATAAGATTCGGAGAAAGGATAAGACAATCACCCGATCTGACCTCCTCATCCAAGGACGGGGAGAACCAAGAAAGGACAAAGGACCCTAGTCCTGCAGTTTCTGATAACGATACGGATTACGATGACGAGCAATATCCTCCTGCTGAGGATAGGTGCAAGCAGCTAGAAGACCGTCTGAGTGCTATGGAGATTCAGAAGATCCCTGGTTTGGATTTCGGAGAACTGGGAATGGTATCGGGAGTGGTGATCCCTCATAAATTCAAAGCTTCGGTTTTTTCCAAGTACGATGGAGTATCCTGTCCAAAACTCCATCTCCGCTCCTACGTAAGAAAAATCCAACCCCACGTCGCTGATAGAAATTTGTGGGTACACTTCTTTCAAGATATTCTGTCAGGGACTCGGCTTGAATGGTTTTATCAGTTGGAAGGAGCCAATATCTGAAACTGGGAAGACCTTGATGCTGCTTTTTACAGGCAGTATCAGTATAACGCCGACCTTGCTCCCACTCGTACTCAGCTCCAGGGTATGTCTATGGGTGCAAGTTAAGGCTTTAAGTATTATGCTCAGAAGTGGAGAGACTTGGCTGGAAGAGTCTAACCCCCTTTGTCTGATAGGGAGTTGGTTGACATGTTTTTAGGGACGCTATCTGGTCCATTTTTCAATACCTGATCAGTAGTTCGTCATCTGGGTTTACTGAGTTGATTTTGACTGGAGAGAGAGTAGAAGTTGGCATTCGAAGTGGTAAAATGCAGAAGGATGCTTATCAAATACGGCAAAGAATTTTCACTGGTAAGAAAGAAGCTAATGCAGTCTACGGCCCGAGGGGCCAAAGCAGGCCTCAACACTGTCAAGCGGTAAATGTTGTAGTGATAGCAAGACCAACAGTTGCTCCACAATGCAACAATCAGCAAAGGGTGGAAAGACCACAACGGCAATTTACCCGCATCAACATGACTTTGGCTGAAGTCTTGCCTCATCTGTTAAAATCCAATTTGGCAACCTTGAAAGAGGCTCCCAGGAATCCAAACACTGCTTCTCCCAGATAGGCATGGCAAAAAAACCCAGACCCGCTGGGCCCCGCCCGGACCCGCCCCGAAATTAACGGGGAAAACCCGGCTAAAACGGGTACGGGTGCGGGGGCGGGTAAAACCCGGTTTCTAACTACGGGTGCGAGGGCGGGGGCGGTAAGACACTGAGACCCGCCCGCACCCGCACCCGCCCCGCCCCGAATAATCCAATTACTATAATAACCTTGTTTTAATTATTTTTATGTTACTTTTATTTTCTCAGCTTCTTAGAAGCATTTTCTCAAGTCTCATCTTCTTCTCTCAAATCTCAACGCAAAATTAACGCAAGTCCGCAACGGCCGATGGTGTTGCTGCCATCACCACTACCACAACATCATCCCATCGACTTCGCCGCACACCAGCCCCTTTGCTCAGCCGCTGGATTTGAAAGGTTAGATCTATCATCTATGTACTCTATCATACTATTAGGTTTTAATTTACCAGCATCTAATATCTCTTGTTTGGTGAGATTTGCAAAAGATAATGGAATGTCAGTGTCACTGTCAATATTTACCAAGGATAATATAGGTTACGTCGAAGGTCTATCTGTATGAGTTGTGTTAGGTTTCCTGGTGGATAGGGTTCTGAATAGGGTTCTTAAAGAGCTAAGTTTCAATTGATGGGGTTCTTAAAGAGATAAGCTTTCCTATGGATACATGAAGTGTATCATTAAAACCTGTGTATTCAAGGTATAACTACTGGGTGAGTGAACTAAACTGAAATTCAGACAACCTGTGTATTCAAGGTATAACTGGGTGAGTGAACTAGACTGAAATTCAGGCAAACTGTCAATGAGATTTGGATTATATCCCAAATTCAGATATTTCAATTTTGAAAGATGAAATACTGCAACTGGAAATTCACCATACAACTCACAATCCATAAGAGATAGTGATTGCAATCTCTTTTTGGAATGGCAGAATTGGAGTTTTGTTTCAGAAATGAGGCAAAAGAAGACAGGGTATTCCACTTCCTGGAATTATGATACCAATATTAAAGAAGGCATGGTTTTATTTGTTCACTTTAATGAATTGTGTTATCCATGGAAATGTCATTCTACTGCATCTTTCCTTACTACTTATTTTAGGACAGTTGAAAATGAACAATCCTGTTCTCTTCCAATATTTGTTCTTTCGAAGATCCTGCTCGATTGTAGTAGGGAAAGGAAGCTCGGGAAAATATTCCAATTTCTTGCAATTCTCCAAGTTCAAATATACAAGCTTGAAAAGCTCCCCAAGGCTAGGCAGTGTCACAAAATTGTTCCCTCCAAGATTTAACATTTCTAACCAGTGTAAGCATCCAATTGCCTCAGGGAATAGTTGACTTAAACCACAATTGCTAATATCAACTTCATGTAAACAATATATGCTAAGTAAGGAAGGAAACATAATTGTGTCTGTTGTGGGAGTGGAAAACAAGGAGTGGTAAGGCTTTGAGGTCCATTTGCAGATGGAGGACGTTGATTAGGAATGTGAAGCAGTTTCAGTTATATCCAAATGCCCTGTATTGCTAAACTCTTTGAAACAACACCTAGAACACCCAGACATTTTTAGAACTTTAAGAGAGCCGAGACTAAATATGTTGTTGGGTATGCTTACAAGACTTTTGCAACCTTTTAAATTCAAGAAAACAATCTTTCTTAGAAGCTCAATAGATGGATCCAACAACGCATGGCTTTCATATTGATGACACTTTGGGTGAGTTAAAGGAAAAGATGAAGTAAATGTGTAAGAAAAGAGTGAATAGAGAAAAAGAAAATTGAGTGGCAAAACAAGAGACCACACAGACAAGAGTGAAGAATTAGTAGTGTGATGAATGGCATGTGGATTGTGGACATAGTCAAAAGAAGGGAGGCCTAGTTGCTAGCTATAAAGTCTAATTTAGTTAGTAATAAGTCAAAGTCAGGCATTAGAATTAGTTGCATACAAAAGCAATGTCTATTTCAATATTACTTTAAACACTCATTAAATATTGCGCAATTTGGTGTTGTTTTGTTTTACATTCAACAAATTTTTAGTATTAAATTGGATGTTGTTTTGTTTTACATTCAACAATTTTGTACTCTTATTATAATAGTATTAAATTATAAAATCCATTTTGTTTTACCGTCCAACTTCACTCACTTTCATTCATTTTATTAATACTAGTTTATCATATATTTCATTTATTAATACTAGTTTATTATATATTTCATTTATTAGTACTAGTTTATCCTTATTGTTATTTTGAATACTAGTTTATTCTTATTCTTATGTACAACTTAATTATTTTACAGGATAATTAGTTATGGAAAATGAAGATACCTCTCAAATACGATGTCCACCTATCTCACAAGAAAGTACACATCAACCAATTCCCAATGAAAGTGGTAACCAATCAGTTGATGTTCCTCCTCCCACGCCAAATGATATTATGGAGGTTGATAGCCAAACAACCACAAGTCATCGATCCAGACAGAAAAGTTTTGTATGGAATCATTTTACAAAGGTCAAAGTTGACGGAAAAGATAAGGCTCAATGTAATTATTGCTCAAAGAAGCTTAATGGATCATCAAATGATGGGACGTCACATTTAAAAGGACATTTGGGATGTTGTCCTAAAAAGAAGATTTTGAACCTATCTGATAAAGGACAAACAATTCTTACGCCTAGATCCATGCAAGGTAAACAAGAGTTGAGTACTGGAATTTATGATGCAGAAAATTCTAAGAAAGAGCTTGCACATGCAATTATTTTGCATGAATATCCGCTTTCAATAGTGGATCATGTTGGTTTTAGAAGATACTCAACTTCTCTCCAACCAATATTTCAAGTTCCTTGTAGAAATACTATAAAGAAGGAGATACTCAAAGTATACAATATGGAGAGATCATCAACTTTGAAGTTGTTAGAAAATCTTGAAGGAAGAGTGGCTATTACTTCTGACCTTTGGACCTCGAGCAATCAAAAAAAGGGATATATGGCTGTCACTGCTCATTACATTGATGGAAACTGGAATTTACAGAGTCACATTTTGAGGTAAATCTAATTTCTTCGAATAATACATTAATTGCATATTATATATAGTTTTGTAATCACATTTTGAGGTAAATATAATTTCTTCTAATAATAGATTAATTGCATATTATATATAGTTTTGTAAATCACATTTTGAGGTAAATCACATTTATACTAGTTTTGTGAATCTTATTATGTTAGGTTCATTTATGTTCCTGCACCTCATACTAGTGAAAACCTTTGTGGTGCATTGGTTGAATGTTTGATGGATTGGAACATTGATTCAAAATTGTCTACTATCACTTTGGACAATTGTAGCACAAATGATGCAATGATTGATAAAATTAAGGCTAAGTTGAAACCAGAGAAATTATTAAGGGACGGGGCCTTACTTCATATGCGTTGTTGTGCACATATACTAAATTTGATAGTAAAAGAAGGGTTAGAAGTTGTGAAAGATGGAATAGAGATGATTCGAGATAGCGTTGCATTTTGGACAGCAACTCCTAAAAGGAAGGAACGGTTTGAGGAGACATGTAAACAATTAAAAATACCTTGCACCAAGAATTTAGTTTTAGATTGTCCAACTAGATGGAATTCTACATATAAGATGCTTGATGTTGCTATTTTGTATGAAGAGGTATTTGATGGATTAGAAATCCGTGTAACTCAGTACACTTGTTTGCCAACAACTTTACATTGGAAATTTGCAAAAGAGATTTGTGTAAAATTGAAATTGTTCAATTCTATCACTGAAGTGTTTTCTGGAACTAAGTATCCAACTGCCAATGAATACTTCCTTAAGATTTGTCAGATTAAAGTTTCATTACTTGAGTGGATTGAATCCTCTGACGAATTGGTAAAAAGAATGGCAGAAAATATGTTGGTAAAGTTTGAAAAATATTGGAGTGTGATTCATGAAATAATGGGGGTTGCTGCTGTTTTGGATCCTAGGTATAAAACTGATTTGCTTGAATATTATTATGGAGTGTTCTATGGGAATGATGTTGATTCCCAAGTTAAGTCAATCAGACAGTTGTGTTACGAGTTAGTTTATGATTATCAATTAAAAATGAACAAGGATTCTAGAAGTGAATCTGAAATGTTGGATGCTAATGTTGGAAATGTTAGTAATGATGGTTTGAAAGACTATGATTTGTATGTCATAAGAAAAAAAAGAGCTAGAACTTCATCTGTTAAAACAGAGTTGGATGTTTATTTGGAAGAGGAAGTTTTACCAAGAAGTCCAGATTTTGATATTTTATTATGGTGGAAGTTGAATGGGATTAAGTATCCAACACTTCAAGCAATTGCAAGGGATGTATTGGCAATTCCTGTTTCTACCATGGCTTCTGAATCCGCATTTAGTACAAGTGGTCATATCGTAAGCCCTCATCGAAGTCGACTTCATTGGACCACTTTAGAAGCTTTGATGTGTGCAAGAAGTTGGTTATGGAGTGCTGAGAATAATGGTAAAGATCTTTCTTGTTTATATTTTTTATTTTTACTTGCCAAGACTATCATTGACTATATTTTACTATATTGATAGGTAATTTGAAATCTAACGTGGGAAATGAAAATGCTATTTTACTAACTGAAATGGAGTCTGATGATGAAGGTATTATTCATACTATTTGTATTAAATTTGTCAAGTTAAATTTTTATATTTTAACTTTTATTTTTTAACACAGGTGAGTTGTTGATTGATGGTGCTACTTCTATTTCCAACTCCCGCCTCGAAGATGAAGATTATTAGAAAATTTGTTGTTTATTTGGATCTTTTTTTGTTATGATGATATCGTATATTTTGTTCCATGTTGTTGGAATGGTTATTTTGTTCCATGTTGTTGGAATGGTTCTTTTGTTGATTGTATTGTTTTAATTTTGTATTTGTACTTTGCAAAAAAATTGTTGGTTGTTGGGAGTGATTTATACTTTGATATATTGAAAGATTACACTCTTTTATGAATCACAAGTTCACAACCAATTATAGTTGATTGAAGGGTTATGATAGAAAAATATTTGGAATGGTGTTTGAATATTAAATCCTACAATTATTTACTCAAATCAATGGCGAATTTTGTATTTTTAATGTATTTGTTAATGCTGTCTAGGAAATTTGTGAAAAAAATAGATATTTTTTATTTAAAAAAAACAGTTTTCGCGGGTGGGGGCGGGTGCGGGTGCGGGTGACCCGTTCTCCATTGGGGGCAGGTCTGGGGGTGAATTTCCATCCCCCGGCGGGTTTGGGGGCGGGGGCGGGTCTATTACTGGAGTTGCGGGTGCGGGTGCGGGGTTAGCTAAACCCGCCCCCGACCCGCCCTGTTGCCATCCCTACTCCCAGGTACAATCCCAACGCGTGGTGCGCCTACCATTCAGAGAGTCCTGGTCACGACACAAACGATTTCTGGGTTCTGAGGAATAAAGTACAAGATTTGCTGGAAGCTAAAGAGATTGAGTTTGATGCTCCGGAAAAGCCAAACGTTATAACTGCTCCTATGCCCAAACATGGTCGTGGAGTCAATGTTGTGGACATCGATTCATTTGTAACCTCTGTGGAAGAGATCTCTACTCCTTTGATGACGGTTAAGAAGAATTTGTTGTCGGTCGGTTTATTTCCGGGTTGTGGTGAAGGTTGCCACATGTGTTCCATTCTGCCTTCCGATTGTTGCTTGTTGAAGTCAGGTGTTCAGCGCCTGATGGATAATAAGGAAATTTTGTTTGAGAAGACTATGATTCCGTTTGAAGATGTTGCCATTATCACCATTTCCGCCAACCCTTCCAAGGTTTCCTCGAGAAAACCTGTTAGGGTTACACCCGTTCCAAAAATTGCTCCGTTAATAATCACCGCTCCGAGTCCCATCCCATATACCTCAGATAAGGTTATCCCATGGAATTACGATGCTGATGTATATTACCATGGTGTTAAACAAGATCTGAGGACTGAAGAAGTCGATATAGATATCAATAATATTGTTGGGACAAGCAAGGTCACCAGAAGTGGAAGACTCTTTTCTCCTGAGATTTCCCCTCCAACTGTCCACAAACCAGTTGTCATTCTGTCTGCTAGTACATCAACTACTGTCCCTGTTCCCACTCCAGTCATCACCCCTGCTGTCGATCCATCTGGGACTCGGGGCAAAGAAATCATAGGTGAGCCTGCCCGGACAGAGGCACCTAAAAATATCATTGTAGAAACCTCTAAACAAGAGATAGACGAAATACTAAAGATTATCAAGAAGAGCGACTACAACGTAGTCGAGCAGCTGGGGAAGACCCCGTAAAAAATATCCATGTTGTCCTTGTTGTTATGTTCTGAAGCCCATGCAAAGGCTTTAATTGCATTCCTCAAAAATGTGCATGTGCCACAGGAAACTTCAGCCGATCAGTTC